TTATTTTTTAATTTTTTTTTTTTTTTTTTTTTTTTTTTTTATATTCATTTTATCATCTAGTCTTTAAAATGTTCATTTCATTCATTTATCTCTTAAGTTTGGATTAATTTAGTTCTTTTGAATTTTTTAGTTAATTTAAAATTTAAAACTTATCTTATAAAATTTATTTGTATAAAAATTATTAAATACAATTAAAGTTTAAATCAAAATTGTTATATAAACATGATGAAAATCAAATTTTTTAAATAATATTTATTTTTTATTATTTATGGAATATATTTTTCACATGAATGATAAAATTATATTTAAATGATGATTTACAAATAATCTATATTATCTTTTATTAACTTTCAAAAAAAATTATATTTATACTTTTTTATTATATATTAATATTTTTATTTATAAGTCCTGTACGCTCTTTCAAGAATCATGATGCAATCCATCAGCAAATTAAATGCTTGGTCTTTTTAATACAACTCATGCCCCCACGTTTTGTGTTTAGTCGTATTGGATTTTTTGTTTTTTGCATTTCATTGTTCTTGGGCTGTCAAGTGTCAACAAAAAAATCGGGTCTGTTTTTACTTCAAGTCTCATCATATATGCATTTTTTATATATAAGTAAACTTCCTTTTTCAAAACAAATTTAAATATTCTTGATTTTTTATTTTTTTATTTTTAAATTTTACATCTTTAATATTCAATTTAATATTTTCTCTTTCTTTTTCACACATCTCTTTCCCATCTTTTATCAATTCTCACAAATGTTTTTTCTATTTTTTCCTCACTCCCTACCTATTTAAATAGATAATTTGAATTCTAATGATTTTTATATTATTATTTTCTCTCACCTTTTTTAGTTTTCATATTATTACCATTTCTTTCTCTTTTAGTTTTCACACAACAAATTTAATATTACAAATAATTTTGGTGTTCCGAAGAATTGTTTTTTAAATAATGAAATTAGTGTTCTAGAAAGTATTTTTTAAAATTATATTTTTAAAATACTTCCAAAAAGTACTTTTTGAAAAATTAAATTTATTGTTTTGGAATGAATTTTTTGAATTCATGTAAAATAACATATTTCTGGAAAATACTTTCTAAATTAGTAAAATTACTATTTCAAAATAATAAAATTAGTATTCTAAAAAGTAATTTTAAAAATCGTGTTATTTTACATAATTCTATAAAAAAAATTGAAACAATAAATTTAGTATTTCAAAAATTAATTTTTTGAAGTATGTAAAAAAATATCATTATGAAAAAAAAAATTCAGAACACTAAATTTAATGTTAAGATTTTTATAAGTATAGAGGAGAAGAAGTGTTTGAAGAAAAAACATGCGTCTCACACGGAACTTTTGAAATTGTTGAAGAAGTCGTGCCTACAACGTCATCATACACTAGTTCTTTAGTATGTGCATGTGAAAACTAAAATAGGTGAAAAGAAAAAAAATTAATTAAAATTAAAAAAATTAAAACTACTTACTAAAATAAATAAGAAGTGAAGAAAAGATAAATTGACATATGTGAAAATGAATAAGAAAATGAAAAGAAGTGTGTGTGGAAAAAAAAGTGTTAAATTGATAGTTAAAGATGTAAAATTAAAAAAAAATTAAAGAATAAAAAATCAAAAAAAAATTATTTTTTTTAAGAAATAAAAGGAGTTGTACTAAAAAAAAAAAAAAAACTTTTACACATTTTGTTTCTTGTTGGGTTCGAATGTCTGATGGACATTCAGATTTAGGGCCATGTCTTTGTTTTGGACCTTTTTTTTTGTAAAGATAGGAAAGCTTACAAAGATGGTCGCAGTGAAGATTGAACCTAGGTCCTCGTACTTTTAATTATCCCAACCCCTCCCACCCAACCACTAGGCTTACCCTAGTAGTTATTTGTTTTGGACCTTAAATAGGATTAAGTTACTTTTTATATATAAAAGTGTATTAAACACACTTCATACTTCTATATATTATTTAAATTAAGATGTTATAATACATTTCAAATTATGAGAACAATTTATAATTACATATTACATTATATTAAGAACAAATCTAAAATTTGTTGAGGCAATTGTCCCACTTTTCACAAAGTAATCTGTCCTCGACTATTGTTTCATCTTTTATTTAAAAGAGTAATTTTTAACTTTATTTTTATCTTTTAAATAAATATATAGAGATATAAATTATCTATTTCTATCAAATATATATAATATCTTTTTTTTTTAAAAAGCATACATAATATAATTTATATATTGTATATTATATAGTATTATGTGATATATAAAATATTATATATATACAAAGAGGGTAATTCCTAATTTGGCTTCCTAATAAAAAAATATATTAGTCCAAAAAAAAAAATCTTATCATATTTATTGAGACATTAAATAATGACATTTTATTAAAATTGTTATAAGGCCTATTTTGCGATTGAGAGGTCAATACAGTAATTCATGTTATATATAAGTATTATAAAATAAGGTAAATTTTACATTGGTTAATATTAACTTTGGAGAATAATTTATATATCAAGTTGCATTGTGATATAGACATACAAAATGATTAGTAAGAGTGAAAAAAATTGTGTTCATGTACATGTATCTAATGAATCTATTGTAGTGCAAATCAATTGATTTGGCTTGCCACATAAAATGTAAGTGGACTTCTTACATTTAATAATGTCCACAACCTCTTATGAATAATCGTCTCTTTTAATTAGGAATTATCGACTAAAACTCTCTTCTTTCATACATATCTCCTCTCTTTCTCCACTTAGGGTTCTAGAATTTTTTTTTACTAGTTTTGTGGCCATCCATTCATAAACTGAGATAATACTATTTCATGTGAGAGCTTGCATAAATATTGTAGATAAGTCTATTAGGACAGTATTTAGCATATCTCAAAAAATTCACCTGATTTTTACTACATTTCCAATTTTGGTTATTAAAATAATATTTAACCTTTTCTAGAAAATAAATGAATTTTTAGTTTAAGACGTGACAAAACATTTATTAGTATCTAGTTAGGAAAACATTCTCCGCCGCATGTACGGGTTGACATGAGCGACAACAGTGAGTTAGTAGCGAATGTTAGTATAATAATAAGTCACAGCCACAAAGCTCCATGCGAATGGTTCAGTTGTAGGGATTGATCTACGCTTAAACAAGGTCAGAAATTTGAATCTGCCTTGTGTATGTAACTGCGTTAAATCTTAGGATCAGTTATTCCACTCTTTGAAATGTCTCCCTCGTAGTGAGAAGATTAATTAGTGCCATTGGTCCTAAATACTCTAGGAATGAAAAGAAAAAAATAATAATAAGTCACAGCCACAATCTGGTTTGGTCCCATATCCACATTATCATTCTGGATGAATACCACCTTAGGTAGAAATGGGTATTGTACAGGAATAGGATGTTGTGGTGGGTGATGAATGAATGTGGGTTACATATTGGCTCTGCAAAAGCGAGGCCATTCATGTTTGTCGTAATGATCTTTGCCTTTGTCATTTCGACAGGTATACAGATCACAGAGATAGTGCATGTGCATGTGCTTCACTATCATTCCTAATTCCCAACGTCTCCCCCAAATCAATTTGGATGCACCTTCTCAATTCTTGTCCACAATCATCACCAGATTAATGCTTGTGTCTATCACCATGTGTAAACTAAACAAATTCATTCATTTATTAAATATTTCTTATACTTATCTTATTTTTTCTCTCTATATATAATTTTATAGTGACAAAATTATAATACATATATAAAATGTTAATTTCCTTGATATAAATGTCTAATGAAATAATCAGCTTATTAATTAATGATGGAATTCTTAAAGTTTAAGAAAAATACAAATATGTTTAAATTAAAAATAAATATTTGAAAGAGAAAAGAAATTGCATTAAAAAGAGAGAAAGAGACCCACAAGTGGTCCACTTGAAAGTCTAAACGACGAGGAACATAAGAATTTAAAAAGAACTTTATGACTTTAATCTTTTTTTCTAAGTTTCTTGAAATATACATCATATTGAGATCGCCTGAAATTACACGACCATATGTACTAAAAAATTATTTGTCATTAGGTGAGAAGCATGTGAGATGAATTAATCTAACTCATAATTTTAAAGCATGGTTAAAGTATGGTTAAGATTAAAATTAATTAAAAAAATATTAATTATGAATTATATATATTTTTAGCCTCTGAATTTTTGCTTTTACTTTTTAACAAATTTTTTTACTAATTTTAGTCTCTAAATTTTGCCAATTTTTACTTTTAGTCTTGAACTTTTTAGTTAATTAACATTTTGTCCTTGACGTAAAAGTTTTTTGTTAATGGAAAATAATTTCAGTGACTAAATTGAAATAAATTTTGTTTAAAGGCTAAATACAAAAATTGACAAAAAAAATTAGGAACTAAAAATATATTTAATTTAATTTACTATTTATGTAGATTTGTATGATTGAGAATAATCCCTCCATGCCCCTTTATTTTTATGAGTATGTTCCGTAGGACATTTGAGAAATTTATATAAGTTTTCTTAATAAGTTTATAAGTTCTTTTAACCAAAAATAAGTTTGTTTGATAAGATAGCTTGTTTTAAAAATTTAGTTTGTAACTTATTTTCATAAGTTAATTGAAATAGTTCATGACTTTAATTGAAATAAACTTCCCCAAAAATATTTTTTGGAGAAAAAATATAATTTTTTTTTATAAATTAAAATTAATTTATGTACATAAGTTAATTTGTAAAAAGATTTCATATAATTTCTCCAAAAATTACAATTAACCAACTAATTTATTTGTTTATTTTACTAAATTCTTTCGATCTAACCGATTAACTTTTTAAAACTTTGAATTTTCAATTCCTAATTTATAACTTTTAAATTTTCCATTAACTTATAAGCTAATTTTGTCTCTATTACACAAGAAATTATTGCAAAAAATCTAAAACTTTCACTCTGTTCCTAATGAATGGATCTCAACATCATCATGTCACCAAGTTTTATTAAATTTTTTCGTAAATTAAAAAACTCGTCTAAGTGTCTCATTATTATATCGCGTGAAGATTGATCAAAAGAGTCAAAACAATGAAAATATAATTATCCTATACCGTACAATAATTTACAGACATAAGTGCTCTAATTGATAACACTTCTTATCATTCAGCATTGACTAATTTTACACAATTATACTTATTAATATTGACCAAGAAAAAGCGAAACATTAACCTTAGCTAAAACTTAAACACACTTATACTTGATTTCAGTTGTGTGTGGTTCCTCTAAGGCAGTAGTGGTGGCAGGAGTACCCCTGGTGCCACTCATTTTTTGAGTGTTACGTGACCTTATGTTTCAAACAAAACATTAATTACCAGTCTTGGTAACTTCCATCTCATTCTCTGTTGTTTCATGTTCCACTCTGAACTTTCTATAGATATCCCCTTTGTAAAATTTTCTAGTCCTCATTGCCAAAACGAACGAAGCAAAACAACCAACCAACGTTGAAGCAGTGATTATGATAAAAGCCATTCTGTAGCATTCCACTCCCACGCAAGTCAGGTCCTTCCCTGCTTCTCGCTTGAGGCCTTTGGCCTTCAATTGTTTCAAAGCCTCTTTATCATACAAAACACCAGCCACTTTCACGTTCAGAATGTAAGACCCAACAGGGCTTGCTGCAGCTCCAAAGTTGTACAACGTGGAGTAGTATTTAAGCCCAAATACTTCTGATATGATTGCAAACATTAGCGGCCATTGAGCCCCAAAACAAAACCCAATAATCACCGAAGCCAAGTAGAGAGAGTTTGGGACACCAAGCGCGATCAGAACATGGCCAACACATGAGAGAAGCAATACTAGAGTGAGCATGTAGGGACGAGGGACTTTGTATTTGGTCAAGAAGATTTCAGAGGCATAACCTGCAGCCACGCGTCCCAAGTAGTTCCATATGCTCACTAAGGACACAAAGGTGGTAGTGCTCTTACTAGGGTACCCCAATGAGTGTCCAATCTGTCCCAAGTTGTCTATGGCTGTTAATGTTCCACCGGCACCAAATGTTGTTGCAATGAACAGAATCAGCATGTCTATGCTGAACAAGGCTTGCAAAATGGTGTAGTCTTCTCCCCTCTTTGGAGGTTTCAGTATGTTCCCTGCACAACAACTTTCCTCGTGCGAGCTTGTGGTAGCTTTTACTTCTTGTTGCACGTTTGGATGTGGCATCACTTCAGTTACTACTTTCAACTGAGGTTCTGAATCAGCCATGGTTTTGGATTTCAATTGGTTTATCTCCTCTCTAAATACCAAAGCAAGAGGGAGAAGGAGAAAGGAGAAAACCACAAGGCCATCGACAATGTACTCGATCCTCGAGAAACTAACCTTGTTTTGCACAACAATCAAAACCATGAGAAACACAGCAAGGCCAAGTGAAATATATAAAAGGTGGTAGAAAACTCTGTTGTCTTTGGGTTGGTGTATTGTGTTCATTATCCTTATTGTTGGAAGGAAAAGGAAGGAAACAGCAGCAGGGAGCCAAGCAATGAGCAAGATAAGAGCCTGAGGGTTGTGATCACCATAGAATGCATGGTAGAGTTGTGCAATGATGGCACCACTTAGACCAACATAACCTTTGAGAAGGCCTAGAATACTGCCACGGCTTCCTGGGAAGTTCTTGACACACGTGACCAAAGCACCGGTGTTGGCAAAAGTTTGAGAATTTGCACCAATGCAAATGTAGAGACACATTTGCCAAACTTGGGGTTTGGCAATGCGACCCGAGACAGCGAGCCATATCATGAAGTAGCCAAAGAAGTTCATGATGACCCCAATTGAGAGTACAACCCACGGTGGGGTTATCTCATTCACCAACCCGGATATCACTCCAACGTTGGCACCAAGGTCTTTGAAGAAGCCTAGCAAGTTGAGAGTGGATTGGTCGTACCCCAACGAGGTTTTGACTTCGTTAGAGTATATTCCGAACATGTAGGTTGCTCCTGCAACGGACATGATGAGTAGAGAAGCAAATAGCATGAACCACCGACCGGTGAGAACATGGTAGCTGAAGCCCCTCATACCTCTCAAACCACCACTATTGAACTCTGCCACCACCATTTTACTATGTTGTATTTTGGACCAAACTCTCTAATTGTGTTGGGGAATGATGCTAAAGTGAGGCTATACAAAACCTCGTATATATAGAGAAATTATGATATGAAACCTAATCTCACCAATCTTTATCTTACAAAATCACATTTTTCACTTTATGAAAAAGAGTTAATAATTATGATGTGAACATTAGTCTCCACCACATAAATCATGAATCTATATAATTTTTTTTATATTTGAGTGGATTTAATATATGTATATATGGATAGAGTTATACCAATTTATATTGACGTAACTTGTAAGAAGTTCACATTATTTAATTAAATGACTGATTAATGTTTGAATCTTGTATTTTCGAAATACAAATTTTTAAGTTAAAAAGAGTTGTTAACATATTCAATGTCTTTTTCAAGATTAGTCATGTGATCAGCGAAGGTTACTCCTTAATAAAAAATATATATATATAAATATGGATAGGGTTATATTTTTTGACATTGAAACACTTATAAATATTCTCTCTCTTTAATTTTATCTCTTATTATACATCATTACTAATGGTATTTTTTATATGATCATATATTAATTTCTTATGAGTGGGTTATATATATATAACGAGGAAGAGAGAGAGAAACAGGAAAAATTTTAAAATTTTGGAAACTATTAAATTGATAAATAATCATAAAAATATTTTATAAATTTACTCAAATTTATATAATGGCATATCATATAATTTTAAAATTTTAAAAAATATAGATATAATTCATGCATTAAGAATTTTTAATATAATAGTTAGATCATTAAAATTTAATATAGAATATAAATTATTGAGTAAAACAAATTTATCAAGTCTTACTCTTGAAATAAGTGAATCTCTTCTATATATATGTGGAGAGAAGGATAGAGTTATACCAACTTGTATCGGTACAATTGATGAGGATCTCGTGTTATATAACTGAATGATTGAAGTTCAAGTCTTATATTTTAAAATACAAAAAACTTAAGTTAAAAGGAGATTTCCAGTATAAGAAAATATGGATAAAGTTATGATTATTGACATTGAAACTTTGAAAATATTCTTTCTCTTTAATTTTATGTCTTATTATACCACATTACTAATGGTATTTGATTACTTATGCTCTTTTATTTATTTATTTTTATTTTTGTTTGGGTGCTTATATTTGTTAGGTTCTAAGAATCTTTTCCATATAGATAGTGTGGATTCAAGATAGTTACTAAAAAATGGTATCTCTTAATATATTAGTATAGATATGTGAGGAGAGGGATAGAGTTATACCAAACTTGTGGATTTTGCATCCCTACAAGCGAGGAAAAGAAAGTTGCAGACGGAATAAATGATTATGGTTTGACTGAGTGATTTAGGAAATGAAGTGCAGTGGTATCATAATTGAGAATTTTGTGGTATGTGCAATTATACGAATGGAGAAAATGACTAGCACTCTAAGTGGTGGTCCTCCATCTGCCACTATCGGAAAAGAGCCGGGAATCCATGGGAAACTGGGATTGCCAAAAATGCCAAATCCAACGCTTTAGATTTCGCCACCGCCACCCTTGAGCGTCAAGCGTCAAGGTTACAGGTAAGATCGAATTTGAATAATTGAATGTACCCATGTCTCTCTAACTTAACCTTTCTCAATTCAATGTTTTATGAGACTCAACTTATTCAAAATAACTTTCTAAGATTGAAGTCGGGACAAAGCTAGCTAGTAACTCCTTTTTTAATAAATAACCTCTTCTTTTTTAATAATTAAATTCTTGGTATTTTCAATTTTATTTCTAAATTGGGAATTAAACATCTTAATCTTAAATTAAGAAATACAAATACTTCATCATGACTTTTTGTTGTATTATAGGTGGATGCTCCATACACTAAAAAAGTTATCCTAGAAGTGACTTCGGGTGAAAAACAAAACCTACAGGCATTTACATAAACACTCCAATGAATATTAATTAGTAGGATTTGTCCAAGTATAAGAATATATAGTAAAACCCTTATTTTAAGTTATCTTAAAAATATATATTTTACATTAATATTTATATAATTTTTTCAAAACTTATAATTCAAATATTACATTTTTTATTTTTCAAAAGTTCACTATAAAAGATTCATATTTAAAATATATATAAATATAATTTTTTTTAAGATCCATCTCTAAAATATTTTAATTTTTTATCAAAAGATATTATTATCAATTTAAAAAATCACTTTAAAATTTGCTTTAAGTCTAATATTAAGTTGGACTAACCCTATTAATTAGTCACACACTAATAAACATGAAAAACATTGTATAATACTTTCTTCGATCTTTTAATAAGACACAATTTAAAAAACATGAAAAACATTATATAATACTTTCTTCGATCTTTTAATAAGACACAATTTAAAAAAGATAGTTCTTTTTATAAGACACTTTATGCTTTCTATAAAGTATTAATTTTAATTTTTAGTTTTTATCTCTATTAAAGATTGTGAGAATAATATTTTTTGTTGTTGAATAATGAGAAAATTTTCATAAGTAAATATTTTTTTTTACCTCTTAACTTTTTCAATTATCATTTATCAGTTTTATTGATATTGATATGTAAGTTTTAATATGAAGTAATATTTTTTTTTCATAAAAGTTTAATAATAACGAAAAAGTAAAATTAATATATATCATAATTTTATTTTATAAATCTAACAAAAATCTAATTAACATAATTATTTATATTAATATGTATAATTTAATTAAAAATAACTTATAATGAGTAATAGTTAAACTTTTATCACGTGACAAGAAGTCATAAACTGGTAACTAGAAAGAAAAAAAAATCCAGAACAGGGGCCCAAAAAATGTCCTAAAACGTCACCTAATCATTAAATTTACTTTCTTTACTGTTTCTTCTTGGTGAGTACACCTACAAGGCTACAAGTGGTATCCTCTCTTAATAGGAATGATAAATAAATCTATTGTGAGAAATTCTTGTTCCACCATGAACAAGAAATTGTTGTACGGTTTAAAATGATCAAATATTAATGGTGACCAATTTTCTCTTTTTATTTATAAAATAATAATAATTAATTACTTATCATAAAAAATTAGGCTAAAATTTTAAAAGGTATGATAATTTGGTACATACAATGATTTCTCCTCCACCCAAGGAAAAGAAGAACATGGGATTGATGAACCTCACTAGTAATGTAGTATACATAGATTTGGATCCTGTCTAACGCTGACAGTAATCAGTTACTTCATAACTATTTTCTCTCTTTAGGATAATTTTTGTTTTGGAATCTTGGCCCTTTTTTTCTTCTTCTGTCTCTTTTCTATCATTGAAAAATTTGATTCTGTCTCTAATTTATTTTTCTTGTACAAATAAAAGAAATGAATGGTTAGCATGAGAGTGAGAGCATGGCGTCAGATGATTGATAATTAAGTGATTTAATTCCCTAAAAGAGGCATTTGTGGGTGATAATTATTAATTGATAAAGATAGGCAATTCGGATCCTCTGCGGCATATGCACTTCCACTTATCTCTTCCCACAATCTCAACCATTCGTTATATTCTCTTTCCTAAGTGGGCGGGGAAGTGAGTAAGACATTTTGATAGGTCCCCCATTCCATCAACTCAAATCCTCACCCTTTATCTTCCTACTTTTTCCACTCACCTCACATCATAAGTTTTTTTTTTATATTAATACTCACAATTCCATTTTATTATACACAAATGAATTAAACAGATAAGAAACCTCCATCATTTTTATTTATATATATGATATCTTAGAATTTAAAATTAAATATAAATTATAATTTATTAAGGATTACGCAAAAGAAAAAAGGAATGATATATTCAGATTAATATAGTATATTAAGATCTAAATTTTAAATCAATTATTTATATCTGTGCGCTTAAAAAAGTAAAGGTCATAGCCTAAGTACTATATTGATTGAAGATAAGGCATATTATGAGGATGTGGTAACAAACGAATAACTAATATAAGAAATCATAAATTCATAATCATAAGGGCACGTCACTAGTCACTATGGTGGTTAAGCAAAGTGAGGGACTCACGTGAGATCACACCACACATTAAGTTAGTTTCTTATTTATTTTTATATATAATTGGTCTGTAAAGTCTCGTGGTTAATTCAATAAATTACATAATATTTTCAAATATATGCTTTTTTTGTGAATTGAAAGCCCCACCCAAAAAGGAGAATTAATGGAAGATAGACGTAGCAAATATATGCTTAATGTAAGTTCTTTCTTCGAACGATTTTGATGCTGCTTCGGTATAGCTCACGGCAGAAATAAATTTCACTTTTGTAACTTGTAAACTACCCTATAGTACCCTAACCTTATTGCTTATAAGTTAAGAATTATAAAATAATTTATTAAATTGACTAATCAATTAATTCATTAATGTTAAATAACATAAATTTTATCTGAATAAACTTTTCCAAAAATATTTATAGAAAAAAATGAAATAAACTTTTTTAGAGCGAAATAAATCTTTTCAAAACCTAAAACTGGTTTATATATAAGTCAATTTTAATCTTAACTTTAATTTAAAAAAATTATTTTATTTTTTCTCTAGAGTACTTTTAAAGAAATCCATCTAAACAAACTCATAAAATATGTTATTTCATGTTATTTTATTTTATATTTATCATTTAACTTATTAATTAATTTTACCAAATGCTTTCAATTCAATTAATTAGTTTATTAATTTTCTATATTTCAATTCTTAACTTATGAATGTATTTGGTAAAATTAATTTATAAACTATTAATTAAGAGATGAAAAATTGCAAGTTAACTCGTTGAATTATTAGTGGTTGACATGATAAGCTAATTGATAAATATTAAATGACATAAAAAAAATATGTTTATTTATTTAAAATAAAAGTTAAATAAATTAATGAAAATAAAATTGAAAAAGAAAAAATTAAAACGTGTTTAACGACACATACGCAAATTTATTATAATAGCTTATATTCACTAATTACTTAAAATAACTTATAAAATAAGCTAACTTATAATTTAGGGTCTTGGTTGATTAGTTAACTTC